AATTCCAATAAATAAAGCAAAGAATCAATATAAAAATATTACAGGTTTTATTGCGTTGTGAAACAACTTGGTTAATATAAGTGCCGCACATGGGAGTAGGTGTGGGGCGGCCGTACCGGCGGAGGAACCGTGGGAGAGAGAGAGAACGACACGGTGGACCTGAGAAGGCGCGTACGGCAGAACCACCGTAACGCAGCGGCCATCTTGTTGCAGAGAGGAAAGGCTTATGCCATATTGTGGTCGGTGTCAATTAATGTTTGTCTCGACATGAAACAAACCCTTTCTCGTTGTCTGCTTCTTGCATAATGGACCACCACCTCTACAATTTAATTAAACTATAAATTTATATTTGAATATTTAAAATTTAAAAAGATTTAAATATATTTATAAACTTCCAAACGCTATAATATATTTTTTAATTTTAAAAAATCAACCAGTCTATTAAAATTTAAATTTATGGTTAGAATCTCCTAAATAAAACTTAGAAACTCCTAAATTTCAAAAATTTCCCTTAATTTTGAAGATTCAGAGACCAAATTTATAACTAAATTTGTAAGATGATGACAAAATTCAAGAACTCGTTATTAAACAAGTTTAAATTAATTAACTCGAAACTTGACGGGTTTACCTACGACCATGTCACAATTTCAATAATCTAACTACCCCAGAAAACCCCATTTAATGGCTTAAATATAGTAGAGAATTACCCTGTACACTGTAAATATTACTGTATAATTGAAGATCATTTACAGAAATCAATTTTTAGATGGCAAACTGGGGATTCTTGAACTGAGTTTATCTCCGAGCAAGGTAATTTTCCAACAATCCCATTGGAAAATAAACGCAGAAGACTTCTTTGGCACAACTGCAAGATCAAAACCACCAAATAAAGAAACATTCAAGGTCATTTGTTAGAAAAACTTGGTCAAATTCATATAACTTAATTGGTTTTGATCACAGAAAATGCAATAGATTTAAGATTCATAAGGAGGAGTTACCTCGAAACTTATCATCTTTAGTCACAATTCCAAATGTTTCTGCAGTTTCACGAATCATGATGCCGCTTATTCCAGTAAAAGCAGGTATTTTACACTCGACAACTGCAGTGGATATCATCAAATGATAAAATAGCCAATATGAGATAGAGAAACACTAGTATGAAACCTCATGCTCTTATTACAGAACCATTTTAATTGTTCTTGTCTACAAAATTCTCTAATTGTTCTTGTTTTGCTTCTTTCTGTAGCCTTCTTGCTGGTTGGGTCTTGTTTTTTGTGCTTTCTTCCATGGTATGAAAATTGGTTTATTTGATGAACAAGGACTTTATATAAATATGATATGAATGCAAACAATTCAATAGGAGAAAATAATGATTTTACCTAGGATCATGGCACCATGAAGATCCGCAACGAGAAGATTTCGAGCTAATGTATCTGGCCTGCAAGATTTGAAACTCTGATCACCCAATGACATAGATAACATATCACTAATACAAGTAAAACATTGATGTAACAAAAAGTAAAAATCTAACCCAACATGGCACAGCCGTTGTTTCATGTAGCTTTTCCACATATCGTGCATTGGCCAAAAGATTTCAAACCTGAAATAGAAAGCACAATAATTTATTGTCAAACATAAATGATAGTGACAGCAAAAGAAGACCCATTTCAATGGGATGCTTATGAAGAACAAACTTAGAACTCTATTGATTCTAATTCCCTTTTGATGAATAACCTTCTTAATCCTGTTTTGATGGATAACTATCAACAAATAGATTCTAATTCTAATTTCAGGAGAAATAGACACTTTCATCAGTATATTTCCAAACAAAATAATCCATTGTCAAACATAAATGATCGTGGCAGCCGAAGAAAACTCATTTCAATGGATGCTTATGAAGAACAAGTGTTACATTCAATAGAGTGCAACATACATGACTTTACTCAATAACCTTCCAAATTTCTTTTTTGATGAATATCGATCAACTACTAAATTCAAATTCTAATTTCAGGATAAACAGACATATGGGATAAAATGGGGCGAGGAGCCGGTGAAGAGAGCACTCAACCAATGAGAAAAATAGAACTCACTTATGGAAATCAGAAGGCAGATCAAATGTTCCACACTTTTTATGTTGCTTCATGGACATATGCCTTTTGGATCGTTTTGAATTGCTCTGCAAAGCTCTCTTACGAGAGCCAATCTTTCCAGCACGTTTGGGAACAAAGTTATCAAGAAGGATCCAAGCATCAACTTTCAATTCTCTTGACCGCTTAATGTAACCGCTAGTTCTCAGCTTGTGACAAATCTTATCAACCACTCTTCCTCTATTACTTGAAACCTACAGAAGATGTGAGATTCAAGATGAGTTTTATTAGTTCTCGTTTGATAATGGTTTCCTTTTTAGTTTAATGTTTTAAAAATGATGCTTATTTCCTCACAATTTTTAGTGTATTTTTTCATCTTTTTCATACCACGTTTAATTTCAAAACAAATTTTTAAAGACTACCTTTTTCAGTTTTCAAATTTTGCTAAGATATTGAAATTGCTTTTAAAAAGCTGGATGCAGACATACAAACGTGTGGATGAAATAACATTTATAATTAAGAAACAGAAAACCAAGTTATAAATGTTGAAAGGCCCTTTTAAGTTTCCAGTGATGTCAACTTACATCCATATTTGTAGACATCAAATTTTCATTCACAGCAGCTGAGAGGGTGAAATATATAGGGTCGCTTTCATTCACATCTGCACATGAAAGAAATCAACTAATAATAAGCAAACTAAAACATACTGCCTTCCCAGCAAACGAAAATATTAAAACCATAGTTATGACGAGGGGACCTTTATTTGAGGGTTTCCCTTCAGACGGCAAAAGAATTGAAGAATCATACTGATTTCCCGAAACAACACTCGAAGAGGAGTCGTTCAAAGTAGCTTTTCCCTTGAATTCTTTCTTTAATTTCTCTGTAGAACCAGTCTTCTTCTGTTGTTGAAGAAGTTCGACTTTCGCAGCAGCACACCTCCGCTCCAATGCCTCCAAAGCGTGTTTCCTTAAATCTTGAGAAGCTACATTGCCCGCCATTGGAAATGGGCAGTTGATTAACCCTTCCTAAAACAATATACGATTTTTTAATACATAGAACTTGACAAAACATGCAGAGAAAACAAAGGTAGAGGTCCATGAGTACTACTTTGATTGATAATTGTGTTGACAGAAAAGTCATGATCTTAGAGACAAGCCAATTTTCCGTAGAGACCAAAGCGTTATACAGATTATCAAAGCCTCAATTGACTAACATATGCAACAAATCAAAAGGCGGAGGGTAGCGCATGACAGTTCAAATTTGTCGCGGGGCTGTATCTATAGTGGCTATTCTTTGGAAATTGGTCGAATTTGAAAGGATTTTGAATTTAGGCATGTAAGAAAATAATGGAATCAGATTGCCTCCCAGTAATTTCTTCTATATTACTACAGTTTCTTCTTTATTCAAGCAAACACAACGGCATCCAATCAACCTGCTTTTTTTTTTTTTTCTATTTCATCTATTTTCATTTAGACTGATTGAACTTTCAGTGATGAAGATATTAAACAAAAACTCTTGATTTTCTTCTCAGTATGTGTTTGTACAAACTAACATAACATTCCCAGATAAAACAGACCTTGGAGTCGGAAAAAATGAGACTGCAGCGTGCTGCGACAGCCGCTGAGACGATGTCCAGCAGGATCGGCGAGCGGCGCGGTGAGAGAGGTGCAATGGCGTACTATGGGAGGGAGGGGCGGCTGGAACGTGAAATCGGCTTGTTCAAACTGTAAAATAAATAAATTGAGAGACGAGGAGGGGAGAGGGAGGGGCGGTGGCGATTCGTCGGGAGTGGCGGGTGAAAATAGGGTTTAGAGAAATAAAGAATAGAAATGGCTAAATTATTTAAAATAATAATAATAATCATAATAATAAAGAAATGAAAATTTTAAATATTCGAAATTTCAAAAGTAATCTTGATTTAACAAATTATTATTATTATTATTATGCTATTAATTTTAGATGGATATTTTGTTTATAAATTTTAAAAATTTTTGGTCCATGAGATTATTGGTATATAAAGGATATGAAATAGTTTATTTCATAACTATAGATAGTAAATAATTATTTATGGTAAAATTTGATAAATAAATATATGGTAAAACAACTCTATCTAATAAACTGAATTATATATAAATTTTTAGTATTGTTTTGAATATATCTCTTGTCTTTGTATATATATATATTAATATAAATCTATAACTAATATTCATTCAGGTTATTTATTTATTATTAAAAAAAAAAGTTTTTTTTTTTTGTATTTATTATTATTTGGGTTTTAATAAACATTAACAAGCGGTCTTTCTTTGTACTATCAAATTTAAAGCAATATACGCCATAATCCACCTTGAGACGGGTGGAATACCACCTCGACCTGGGCGGAGATGGCGGATATAGCAACTATTGCTTAGTAGGAGGAGAAAGTGGGGTTCTTTCTCGATCTCCATGACTCTGCAACATAGATTTAGCTCTCATCGATTTAGCGAGGGTTGTGTAATTCACAAGAATCGGTGAACTAGTTTAGCTTTCGTAGTCCCATACGGATGATCTAGGTCCTTCGTTGCTATCTAACCAACTTGTTTGACTGTATCCTTACTAGGCTCTTGTCATCATGATCTAGAATCGAGCTCTTTCCATTAAGTTATGTTTCATAATCACTGCAGAGACCGTTTTCAAATTCGATGAATTTTCCAATATTTGAGGTATTCTCTTACTCTATAAATACATAATCATAAATCATTTTCCATTAACCATGCGGTAGAATTCAATTAAATCTTTTAGAAGTTATCAAATAATTTTGATTTTTAAATAGTCGTCATAATCCAAATGTTTATTTTATCATTTCTGAAATTATCACCGTTTTCAGAGTATCCCAAAATTCAAATTCAAAAGTACTCGAAATTTCCAACTTTGAGGCAGAGTAGAGTCAACTACCAGCCCATTGGGCTAACAGGTCAACTAATTTGTTCCTTAAATGGGCCCACGTACACAATGGGCCAGAGTACAGTGCCAATTACCAACCCACTGGGCTAACAGGTCAACCAATCTGTGCTTTAAAGGGGCCCACTGTACGTGGGCCTACCTGCCCCATTCCGAAAGGGTTCTAAACCCGAAGTCCTCTTTCTAAATAGAAATAGAAGAGATTAACAATTACAATTAAAAAAAGAAAAATGAATAAAAAATCGGGAATATCAAGACCGTTGGATGGGCGAATGTACCCTCCTACAGATTACTTTTGGGTTTCTTAATCAAGTTCCTTGCCGTGACGGAGACTGGGTGACCTGCTGTACAGGTGGCAACTGCTGAATGGGCGGAGGAGTTTTAGTGAAGGAACGAAGGTTCCACAACATGATCTTTGAGCAATCTCCCGAAGGAATGCCGGTAAGTTTAGCTTCATCTTCAAGTACTACTTGTTTCACGAAATTAACAGACTTCTGATGAAAATTAATAAAAATCATTAGGATTAATTACTATAAATAATTACAAACAAAATCATAGAAATTTAAACACACCTGAGAAGTGTCTTGGACAGAGGAAGTTCGACCCCATCTCTCGGGGTCCCAAAGAATGGAGCTATTGAAGGCAAAACTGGAGATATGGATTTGGGGCTTAGGGTTTTGAATTTGGTCGCCCATTTTCTTCAAATGCCATCCGATTACTTGAGAAGAATCACAAACAGGCCCTTCGATTACTACCTTTTTCTTGTTTGCGGTCACCACCGCCATTGGCCATGTCCCGAACACTCTGAATTCAACGCCAATTTTGAATTTGAATGAGAAAATAATTATAGAGAAAAAGAGATAGAGAGAGAGAGAAGAAGAAATCGTACTCGATTTCCCGGAGTTCATCGAAGAATCGAAGATCGTAAAAGTTGGAAAGTCCGGCGAAATGAACGATTCCACTAAGGCGATGATGTTCAATGTGCTTCAAAGCGACGTTCCTCTGATGATTCATCTCCGCCTCTGAATCCGTGAAATTCTCCTTGAAAACCAAATGTCTGTACATAATCCCTGTTTTCCTCATTATCTCCGCCAAATTACTCGATTCACTCTTCGCCTCCACCACAATCCACAGCAATGGCTGACCTATTAGCCTAATCGTATTCGCCAATCGCCTCAGCCCTACTTCTCTCAACCTATCCCTACTTCTCGTCGGCGTCACGATTATGATCTGCCTTCGCGGCTCCATTTCCGGTTCCTCTTTCCGATTCTTCTCCTCTGTTTTCCTCGCCGGCGGTGGTTCCGCGAGCACGTTCCGGCTGAAATTCGAAGTTCTCTGTGCGGAAGTCGGAGGAGGAAGGAATTCGGTTCTGTTGGAGGGGGCGGAGGAGATGGAGGATTTGGCGGTGGGAGCGAAGCCGGTGAAAAAGCCCATGATGAAGCAGAGGGAGAAGTGGAGGATGGCTTTCTTGCAGAGCTGAGCTCTCTTCTTTGGTCTTTCAGTAGATCCCATTTTGGAGAGATGTTATGATGGAAGGAAGTTTGGAGAGGGAATTTAAGATGAAATCTCATTGTGTTTTTGCATGGAGGAGGAGGCGGAGGAGACGGAGGAGGAGACGGTTTGATTTAGCGGTTTCTTGAAGTCAAAGGAAGAAGGAAAGAAGGGTGTTTTTTTGTGCACCAAATTGTTGGGTGGGATGGAACCCATCAACTAATATAATTAACGTTAGGATCAAAGCCATTTTCTTCATGGTGGTTGCAAATTTCTAGATTATATATATATATATATATATATATATATATATATATATATTACATTATAACAAAATAAAATAAAAATATGTTGAAATATCGTTTTAGTCCCTACACCTGCTTTTAAATATTACATTTTTTTTTAAATTTTATTTTAGTTATTAAATTTTAAATTTTGTTTTATTTCAGTCTTCAAATTTATAAAATATTTATTTTAATCCATAAAATTTTAAAATATGGTCATTTTAAGTTTTTGTTAAGTTATTTTTCTATTTTAAATTTATTTTTTCAATGTTTATCTTTAATTTTTGGTAGTTTTTTATAGTTTTTTTTGTGGAGGTATTATTTGATTTTTAGGAGATAAATAGTATTTTATGATATGTTTTTATAGATAAAAATAAAAAATTTATATTAAATTTCGTAATTTAATTTATTTATAATTAATCTTATTTCCCGCTATAATAGTATCAAAGATTACGAAACTACCCATACGGCCATACCACAGGTCAAAAGTAAGCACCATGCCGTCCAGTTCGAATCAAAGACGAGGAAAATGAACGAAGCTCAGACCTCCAATGGAGTTTCCCTCTTCTGCAGAGTTTTAATTCCTTTACCCTCTCTTCCTCTCGTTTCCAGTTCGAAACCGCAAGGATTTAGGTACTTCCCTCCCCCGAGGACGTCGTTCTTTCATTTGTTTGGAAGTCCCGGCTTTTCTTCTTCTTCTGCTGCTGCTCCAGAACTTGTCTTTGGATAATGTATCTGTTTCTAAATTTCAATTTATTGGACATTTTTTTCGCCTTAATATCGGCATGACCGATGAATTTTTTCATTTGTTCGGTTGTGCGGCTTGAAGTCTATCTGTTATCATGGAATGATATTGCGACGGGAACTCCATACATCTCCTATTGAGGTACGCTTTTTGGACTCTGAATATTGTTTTTGCATTTGGGATTCAAAGGAATTTTCGTAGTGTATGAATATTTGTGATGGTTCTGTATTTTTATCGATATTGAAATGTTGTACGCAAGGTGTTTGAAGAATGTCCGCTTAGAGATATAGCTTGCTTGTTTCGACGGGAAGAGTGACACTCTAATATAGTTGGTTTTCAGAACTGGAGCTGTACATATTTGGTGCACAAGATATTTTCTACTGTGGAACCGGTAAGTTCCGGTTTGACTTCCCAGATTTGAATGCCTGATCTAGGCACTGCCTCATGTGTTCAATTTCTTCCACCCCATGGTTTCTGGTTGTTTCTTATGCAATCAGTCTCTAAGTCGTACAGGAGATAGTGGTTTAGATCAAACATGGTTGAAATCTCCATGTGGAAGTTGACTCTTGCAGTTGCAGGGGATGGATAAATTGAAAAGCGGTGAAGTTTTTTCTCCCTTTATTTATGCACCATTCATTTGTGAATCTCGTGCTGTTCACTGCAGAATGGCTTTTATAAGAACCTTAAATTCTATATATTTTGTAACTTTATCATCAGAAGCTATTGTTTTCTTCAACCCTTGTAGTCCAGCTACCTCAATAAAGAACTTCAAACCTCAACTGCATTTAGCACTCTCCCATATTCGATTCAGTTCCCTGCTTGCCTCTCCTCCCAGCCCTGTTACTGAACATTCTCACGATGATAATATAATCTCTCTCTGCAAGAAAAAATTACACAGAGAAGCTCTTCAAGCATTTGATATTTTTCACAAGTGTTCAAGTTCTCCATTGAATTCTATCACTTATACCCATTTAATCCACGCTTGCTCTTCTCTAAGATTCCTAGAACATGGCAGGAAAATACATTGTCATATGTCGACATTCAACTACCAGCCTGATTTGATTCTTCAGAATCATATTCTTAATATGTATGGAAAGTGTGGGTCTTTGAAGGAAGCAAGAAATATTTTTGATGCAATGCCCCTGAAGAATGCGGTATCTTGGACCTCCATGATATCTGGATACTCGCATTATGGTGAAGATGATAATGCCATTACATTGTATGTTCAAATGTTACGATCAGGACATATTCCTGATCACTTTACCTTTGGAAGTGTAGTAAAATCTTGCTCGGGACTTGATGATCTTATGTTAGCAAGGCAACTACATGCCCATGTTCTAAAGTCAGAATTTGGTGGTAACCCAATTGCACAGAATGCTCTAATCTCTATGTATACCAAGTTCAGCCAAATTGCTGATGCAACAAATGTCTTCTCTCATATTATTACAAAGGATCTAATTTCCTGGGGCTCAATGATTGCTGGGTTTTCCCAGCTTGGTTGTGAGATTGAAGCTTTATGCCATTTTAGGGAAATGCTTTCTCAGCCTATCTATCAGCCAAATGAGTTTGTCTTTGGTAGTGCCTTCAGTGCTTGTAGCAATCTCTCAGAACCAAATTGTGGACGCCAGATACATGGCTTGTGTATAAAATTTGGGTTAGGAAGTGATCGTTTTGCTGGATGCTCCCTTTGTGACATGTATGCAAAGTGTGGATTTTTAGGATCTGCCAGAACAGTATTTTGTCAAATTGAAAAGCCTGATTTAGTAGCTTGGAATGCTATCATTGCGGGATTTGCTAGCGTTGGTGATGCAAAGGAATCCTTGTCATTCTTTTCTCAGATGAGGCATACAGGACTTGCTTCAAATGATGTCACTGTCCTCTCTTTACTTTGTGCTTGTTCAGAGCCTATGATGCTTAATCAGGGAATGCAGGTTCACTCCTACATCGTCAAGACGGGCTTCGATTTAGAGGTTCTTGTGTGCAACGGTTTGCTTAGCATGTATTCAAAATGCTCAGATTTGAACGATTCACTTAAAATATTTGAAGATATAGGAAATAAAGCTGATGTCGTTTCATGGAACACCATGCTTACTGCGTGTCGCCTGCGGAACCAAGCTGGAGAGGTTTTAAGATTAATGAAGCTAATGCTTGCTTCTCACATTAAGTCTGACCGTGTTACTTTAACTAATGTGTTGGTGTCATCTGGACTAATAGCATCATATGAAGTGGGAAGTCAAGTTCACTGCTTTATCATGAAATCAGGACAGAATCTTGATACTTCTGTTTCGAATGCGTTAATCAATATGTATATGAAGTGTGGATCCCTTGGATGTGCTCGAAAGATGTTTGATTCAATTGATGATCCCGATGTCATTTCGTGGAGTAGCTTGATTGTTGGATATGCTCAGGCTGGATGCGGTGAAGAAGCTTTCGAGCTGTTCAGAACCATGAGAGGCCTCGGCATAAGGCCAAATGAAATTACATTTCTAGGAATCCTTACTGCTTGTTGTCATGTTGGAATGGTAGAAGAAGGTTTGAGGTTATACAGGACAATGCAAGAGCAAGATGACATTTCACCAACCAAAGAACACTGTTCGTGTATTGTCGACTTGCTCGCCCGTGCTGGATGCTTGGATGCAGCAGAGGACTTCATCAAGAAAATGCCTTTCGAACCCGACATCGTCGTCTGGATGACTCTGCTAGCAGCATGTAAAGTTCATGGTAATCTTGAGGTTGGCAAAAGAGCTGCAGAGAATGTATTAAGAAATGATCCATCGAACTCCGCTGCGCTCGTAATGCTCTGCAACATCCATGCTTCTTCGGGCCATTGGAAAGACTTCGCTCGATTAAGGAGATCAATGAGACGGATGGATGTGAGCAAAGTTCCCGGTCAGAGCTGGATTGAGATCAAGGATAGAGTTCATGTGTTTTTTGCAGAAGATAGCTTGCATCCAGAGAGAGGTAGAATATACATAATGCTAGAGGAGTTGATGTTGCAACTTTTAGATGATAGTTGTGATCCATTACAGATGGAGTCTTGTTTGGGTTACACAATATGATTAGTTATTCAAGTAGTTTTTTTAGATGTACATTGCTTCTCGCAATAGAGATGGGTATTTATTCTTTTGACTAAATTATCTTTTGTTTTTATATATTTATGTATGATAGTCTTAGAAACATTAATAATGTGGGCCGTAGCTCAGAGTTCAAACTCGTCACACTCAATCCAGGCCCAGATAATGTGGGCCATAGGAGTTAGACCAGCCCATTAGCTCAGGGTTCAAACTCGTCACACTCAATCCAGGCCCAAAAAATGTGGGCCGTACGAGTTAGACCAGCCCATTAGCTCAGGGTTCAAACTCGTCACACTCAATCCAGGCCCAAATAATGTGGGCCGTACGAGTTAGACCAGCCCATTAGCTCAGGGTTCAAACTCGTCACACTCAATCTAGGCCCAAATAATGTGGGGCCGTACGAGTTAGACCAGCCCATTAGCTCAGGGTTCAAACTCGTCACACTCAATTCAGGCCCAAATAATGTGGGCCGTACGAGTTAGGCCAGCCCATTATCTCAGGGTTCAAACTCGTCACACTCAATTCAGGCCCAAATAATGTGGGCCGTAGGAGTTAGCCCAGACCATAACCCGGGTTCTAAAATTTGAAAAAGGTCGATCTGTAGTTTCCTATCGTAGAGACGACAATTTAAAGCGGGAAGCATGTGAATGTGTCTACTGAAAACTTCTTCCAAATCAGTACGATCGAAGCGTCACGGTGGCAGTCACCATCGCGCGGCGGATATCCACCGCACCAACAACTCATTTCATCGATACCATCTTCTCTTTCTCTCTTCAAGATTGTTGTTCTGCCTTTTCTTTTCGATTTCCATGTGGCAGGTTCTTCTGGCGGCGGCGGTGGCAGGATCCACTGGACTGGTCGCGAAGCACGTTTTTGGCGCCGGTGTAAACCCTAATGGGACTATAATTGCAGAAGAATTGAAGAAAGGTGATGAGAGTTGCGTAGATCGGGAGGAATCTGATGGCATTGTGAAGTTCGAGGGTTCGATCGACACGGAATTTGGGTCCCCTATGGTCTCGAATGGACTGAATGAGTCTGAACGCGAGGGGATTTTCAGGTTTTCGAGTTCGGATTCTCGTGGAGCGACGAGC